TTACTGTCACAGAGTTTCTACACTCAAGGCTTACAGAGCTCCTCTAGCAGAGCTGATATAAACAGTCTCAGATTTTGCTTGTGGGAATGTCCAGTTCCTGAACCAAGTTCAAGTCAGCAAGGCCACAATGTCCCCCACAGGGAAAAGCAGAATAGCATCCAAGGCACCTGGAGCTGCATTCCTCCCTCCTGCATCCCTGACAGTCATCACCCCACAGGGGCCCTCAGCATATGTTATCAGGCATCTAAAGATAAGTTTTAGATACTTGATGTGTAAGTATTTGCATATAATTCTATAAAAGCACTGTATACTTTTAACATAATTTTTAAATATAGTTTGTTTTTCAAGGCCACACACTATTAGTATAATTAGCAATTCCTCTTCTTGGTGAGCATTTTGGAGGCTCACCCATTCCTCATTATTATGCATCTTTATTACTTGGTCTAGGAATACTTTTCATGCGATTCTTTGGACTAGCTTCCTAGAAGTGGTATTACTAGGTTAGAATATATTGAGTTTTATTCCGCAGTGTTTCTCTAACTTCCCTAATAACAATGCTAAGCCTATAAAATTGTATATATGCCAAGCATTTATCTAACATTAAATGAGTTCCCACTGAATCCCAGGTGTGGCGATAGATGCTGAGAGCAAGTCACTGTCACAAGCAGCTGAAAACAGTGCTGGAAGAGGAAGTAAAAAAAGCAATTATGGTGTAATTTTGCAACCATTACAACTATAGAAAACTTAAAACACATGATCCACTTTGGGCTTTGACATTTTACAATATTCTGTTCAATATTTTAAAAATTAAACTTAAAAATTAATGAGCATCCAAAGCAGTTAGGGTCTCCTGCTTTCCTTCCAGTCCTCCCTCTTATCTGCTGGGTAAACTACCGGCAAGTCATTTAATTTCCCTCAGCTTTCCTTTACACATCCTTAAAATGCAATCTATTTGGGTGGAATTGGGGCAGGGGAGTAATTCTAATGGGTGGAAGTTTTTTTGGGGGGCGGGGTGAGGAAAATGTTTTAAAATTGAGTGTGGTGATGGTTGCACCACTCTGAATTCACTAAACACACACACACACAATTATACACTATAAATAGGTGAAGTGCATGGTATATGAATTATATCCCAATAAAGCTGTTATTTTTTTAAAAAAATAAAGACCAGTCTTATAATAACACACAGTCTTATATTCACACAGGGCTTACTTACCGCATCCCAAACCACAGCTGCAACTCCCAGTTGCCTCCAGTCCTGCCGGATCTGGATAGTGTGGTTTGCAAAGGAGAAGGTGGCAAGAGGCTTGTGGAATTTCTGCAACCCCATTAGCGCGGTCTCCTCATAGGGCACTAGGGCCATTTCTACTGCTCCTACTCTCTGCTCCCTTAAACCTGTTGGGCAAAAGAGTCCTGAGTGACGCTCTGGCCAAAAACTGCATTATCTCTTAGGTGGCCCCAAATGCTTAAGGTCGCTTTACAAGTTCAAAAGAAAAAGGAGGTGAGAGAAGCTTTTGTCTAATTCCTTTTGCCTGACTCTTCCTTCCTCTGAGTCTTCTGGGAAGTCAGATTTGGCTCCAAGGCCAAAGGATGTCTTTGGGCAACAGCACTCAGAACAGTACAACTCCGGCAGGATGCTCTACACATTTCGCTGTTCGGAATCCGTGAATTCAGAGCGGCGTAAAGGTGCGCGAGGAGGAGGTAAAGGGCCCGGGGGAAAGTAGCGCTTTCTAAATTTCCCAGACCCGTGTGGACTGCAGCTGGAATCTGCTGCAGTCGGCAGGGTAATTTTTGTATTGTTTTGGTCTGGCCTCCACCCCGTCCCAAGGGGTGCGTTCAACCGCTCTGACAACCAGGGACGCGAACCCGCCCTTCGTCTGGGTGTGCACGGCTTAATTATCCTGCGTTTTGACGCCAGCTGCATATATACGGTCGACGCAGTTCCATCCCCTAGAGACTAGAAGTGAAAGACACTCATGGATTCCGAGTCGCTTGCGGGGAGAGCGGGACCGCGGGTCAGGGATGGACTCGGGCGTCCGCGGCTAAGAGGCCTCCCGGGAGTCCCCCAAACCTGCGTGCGACCGCCCCCTAGAGGGGCGACCAGTACGCACTTCCTTCCGGCTGGCCCCGGGGCTCTGCGAGCCGGCGGGGGTGGGAATGCGAGATGGGGGAGGGGCCGCAGGGCCCTTTGAGCCCCACAGCCACGCGGGACGCCCGCCCACCCCGGGGGTGGCGGGAGCTGCCGGGCGGAGGGCCCGGGGCGCGCCCAGGCCGACCCCGAAGCGGGGTCCCGCGAC